TAAGAAAGGTAGAGCCCCAAAAAGTAAGAAAAGCTATTTTGATGATCATTTCTTGTCTAAAAACAAACCAAAAAGAAAACCTCTTTCTTTGAGTATAAAAATGGAGGTTTGCGGTTGAATCTATTAGCACATAGAAACTATAACTCTGCTTTGAGACTCATCCCACTGAACAAGTTGGCCACATGGCAACAAATAACACCTTGATAAAATCTATAAACTACTAATAATATCTGCCCTGAGTTTCTAACATCTGTGGAATATCGTTACATTTCTAGAACAGTGGCGTCCAGATTCAGTCCTAAGAGCTGATATCTGCAATGATGAAAATATTCCAGAGAGAAAAACAGCAACAGTGGATTAAAAGCTAAGCTAAGCCAAAAGGAACAAGGAACCAGCAGCTTCCTGGAAATGGACTGGAGTGAAAGTTATAATTACCCCCCCAACATTACTCATGATACTCAAAAAAGTAATTTAGTACAGTAACCAAGTTGTTATTTTCCACCACTGGTTTGCTTTGAATTCGATCAGTTTAAATTATTTATGTAAGCTTCCGCATCCTTAGAAAGACGTCTGACTCAATCTGCAGGTAGGCAGTTCATCAGATTAGGGTCGATCAGGGTAAAAACCCTGCAGCGCACCGATGGCTGACGTGTACAGGCCGCGTTGATGCGATCCGTCTTTGTTTGTTACTCTGTGACTCCTCGCCTCATGACGCCTCACTTACACCGTGCGGTCTGGACCCACCACTTCCTCCCAGCTGTCTATTTCACTCTACTTCCTCCAACAACACCGCGCTCTGAGGGTTTGAGAGCAACAGAGTCGCCAACAACAAGCTCAAACAGCTCGCCGCTCACATGCGACGACTGATGCTGCTGTCCATGCGCTGAGACGCAGCAATCGAGCTAACCCTGTGGTTGACGTGTGAATGAACATTAGGATTAAATGCTGTATAATTTCTGAGAAATCCCCTCAATGCCTCAATGCCTTTAAAATGATTTCTATTCCAATGGAAACATAAAGATCCACCATCCTGCATCTCTTGGATCCCTGCAGTTTATCTCCTGCAGCTCATCATTCATTCTGCAGAGGCCTGATAATGAGCCGTTCATTTGATTCCAGTGGGATGGAGAAGGGATGTATGCAAAAGTAGCAGGCAGGGGCAGAGTTAGGACATTTGGGGCCATAGGGAAAGACAGGCAGGGGGGCCCTCTGAATTAAAACAGACTCATTATACGGTGTGAAGTTAGGAAGCTGAGACAGACGCATTTCTTGCAAGAAAAAAGGTCCAAATTTGTTTAACGTCCTCAGACGGAGAGATAGGCTTCTGACTAAGCAACCTCAGAACCAATGGCGTAACGACACAACAATAGGCCCCATATGAAGTACAACACCCCATCCATGGTAACTAGGGCTGGGTATCGTTCAAAAATGTTCGGTTCCAGTACTAATACCTTCATTTCGATGCCGGTTCCTGAACGATACTTTTTTCGATACCAGTTTTATAAAATCAATTCGAAGAAAAAGAAAATTACACAACATAAAAAAGTACAAATCTTTTTCCATTTACATTT